GTGTGAGTTCTCGATACGAGAATGCCAAGAAAACTGGTTCTTTACAACTCAGTGGTTTAAAACTATCCAGAGTATTTGGTTTCGATTTTTTATAGCTTAGATTCCTGAAGATGTGCAAAAGCTGAAACATCTGCGTATTCTTGATTTGTCTTGTAATGGTATTCACAGTTTGGACCCTTGGATAGGTCTGCTGAGCAGTTTGAAGCTATTGAATGTTAGCGGGAATAAATTAGGTGAGATTAGCTTGGCAATCAAGATGTTTTGAATAATTAATATTGTATTCTGAATTTCTTGGCACCATGAAAAATTGTTTTAAAACCCTGCTTATGTCTTTTAACTTGGTCTACCAAACACAGTATCACTCTATACATGGAAAATCAATAATAAAAACATATATCTAGTTGGTTTTTAAATGGCTTGTTTAGATATTTCAGAACGATATTTTAAAGGGTTCTTTAAATTAATTTTCGATCTATGCTAAATTTGTTTTTAACCTGGCTTTTGATTTTATTGAAGCAAATGCTTTTTGTTTGGGTAACAATCTTCTCCAGATCTGTTTATAAGTATATTTAGTTCTGGTATCTCCAAGCAATTAAATCTCCAGTTGTCCATTTCTTGCTCTTATATGTCCGGAAAGCCTTGTCCATTTGGCCAATGAACCAATCAACTTATCCTAATTTTAATAGACATATCTCCTATTATTAGCAATTTTAGGTCCTACAAGTGTACTGAAAAAAACATGTATTTTAATTCCATGCGTTCCCACATATCTTAAATTAGAATTTAAAATATCTATTTGGCAGTCATTATTTCTTGTTGTAGTTGATACTGACATTAAATTCATGACAAAATATTATTTATATTTTCCACATTAGACGTGTTTATCTATATGTGTGGCTCACATCTTGGGTCATGTCGCCCAAGTAGTAAGTCTGGTTTTTGTAGTAATCATGGGTAATCTAATTCAAGCTTCTTGGCTAGTTAATTTTAGTTGTCTGTAAACTGCCTTTTTTAACCGTCGTGTATAATTGAATGAGGTGACATAGAAGTGCTTTACTTGTGATTTTTTTTGCAGAGAAAATTTGTGAATATTGATAACCATTGTAATCAAATATAATAATCACACTATTTGCTAGATTTACCAACATTAATATCAGTTTTGTAAGAAAAATCGTGTTGTTATTCACAATTGTGTCTCATTTACTGTTTATCAGTCCATTTACCAACCGACATCACGTTACTAACAAAGCTCGAGGTTCTTAACGTGTCAATGAACCGTCTAACCAGCCTTATCTCTTCCTCGAGTTCGGCCAACTTTGAAACCTTGAGAAATCTGAGGACTGTTGATCTATCAGGGAACAATATTTCCGAGTTTCCTGTGGAATTATGCTCGGAGGCTATCCCACTTGACTTGCTTGATCTTTCGAAAAACGACATTGCTATAGTTCCTACATGCATCGAATCCCTTCAGGTTGGTAATGTGATTGTTGTCATACGATGCTTTTCATTATTTCAACCGTTTATATGTACGGCTCAAGAGTGTGTTGACACGAAAAAAAGTGGTGACCTCTTTTGGTCTTCTGTGCCTGGTAAAAACCACGTTCAAATCTTTACGGGGAAGTTTTATTCATGTTTGCGCTGTGGAAAATTATTTTGCGGCAATTCGGTTTTCGTGAAAATTATTTGCAGGCAATAGAGCTCAATCTCAACAGCAATAAAGTCAGTGTTGTTGCTGAGTCGATTGGAAAATGCCCAAGGCTAAGAGTGCTTCGGTTGGCGCACAATCGGCTGAGACTGGAGGACTTCCCACTGGAAATATTGGAAAAGTCTAACGTATCCCTACTCGCAATCGAAGGCAATCCTCTGTCCGTAAAAGCATTGCAAGAGCATCCATCCTACGCTAAGGTACCCAATTTTTTGTTTACGACGTTCAAACCTGGATAAGAACTTACAGAATCTATGCTCTAATAAGACTTGTTCGTCAAGACTAACGAATCCCCATGCAACCTAGTAAAGAAAATTACGATTATCTTCTGTGTTGGTTTATGTTCAGGCCTGCACAAGCAGGTGGGAAATACACTTCTGAATAGAACGGTAGATTTATTAACAATATTAGATAGACGAAAGGCCCCGACCAAGCCTGAGATTTCCGTAGTTTAAATTTGTGGATGCCGTTAACGATCCGCAGTATTTAAGCGTCACAAAACCGATCATGTGCATGAATAATTTACAACTAGCGCCAACCCATTTATGCAATAAAAAACAGCGCAGATACAAAAATGCTAAACGGTACAAATATACTCAGTTTTTATTTGTGTTTTATTTTTAGTATATGGAACGATACACGGCCACAAAGCGAAAAGCGATGCCATAAACAGCTCAGTCAGCATTTCAAACCCGATGAGTTACTTGGCTGATCAAGGCACCCGATTTTGATTTTGCTTTAACTTGTTATTATAATACAAGCTTTATACAAACCCACTAGTGTTACTTTTCACAAGAATTTGAAGTGATTTCTGAAAAAAAGTACTTACTCTCAGTGATCATTTACGGAAGGTATCATACAAAAAACGGGTTATCAGCAACCAAGTAGTAATGCCAAAAGTGCATGGCCTAAACATGGAACTTACAATTTCCTAAGAGGATTAAATGGGTGTGGTGGGCAACTACGCATAAAAAATTCACTAATTGTAAACATGTGCATGTTTAATCTAGTACTTTGGCGTCGCTTTTGTAGTCACTGAGAGCTGCTACGGCCAAATACTTCGCCTTCAATACGAAAAGTACATTGGTAACAGTCAAATTTATACATTTTGGGTTATGATAAACGACGAAATGCAACAGCAAGCATTGGCGCCTACATCCGTTGTTGCTTAGCACTGATTAAGTCCCTTAAGCCTTGTTGTGCATCCGCGAGGCTTTCATTGACGTAATCCAGTTTTTTCTTTAGTGATTCAATGCTCTTTGAGTAATCCTCGCGCTGTGTTTGTAACTCCGATACCAAGTCAGGAATACACTTCTGTATAAACCTAAGATGTTTAGGAAGCGAAAAATCCCTTACATTCTACCTACAGAACAATACGTGTTTACGCCATCGGGTAGGGACGTGATTTCCTGCGCTACCAGTTCAGACCGGCGGATTTGCTTGCTGAGTGCATCTATTTGAGCATTAAGGAGGCTTTTTTGTTGATTAGATGAAATAGTTTTGGCTTTAAGTTGGATTATAGCCTAATAATTAGATAGAAGGGGGACACACCTTTTGTATATCCTCATCAACTGCACCATCACCCATTCTTGAGGTCGACCTATTACTTGGCCCAATCTATCTTGGATTACGCGCGGAATTACGTCATTCAGTTCAACAATTTCTGCTGTGAATCCCTGTTCCAGAACTGAAGTCCACTTCACTAAAGCAGGGCACCATAATTTTTTTTAAATTTAATTATTTTTATCAATGTGTGGCTTAAATTATTTCATGCTTGATCGAGACCCTTCATTACCAACGAATCCTGATATATCGGAATTAAATTTACCAGCCGGCAAGTTATTCTTAGGGAGGTTGATTGTTATCATCTACCTCAAATGTATTTACAAATGCAGTTTAATGACTACATGTTGGGGTATGCTGTGGATTCGAAGTTCCAATTGTCTTGACTTTCATATATTTTTCTGGGTATCGAAGACTAGAGGGCTTGTGATTTGTCTAAGGACGTCGATCAATAAGTGGATTTATCTTTTTCGAATAGCAACTGATTTTTGTCAGTACTCATTTTAAATCTAGCACTGAAGGACATTTTTGAGCTGATTGAGCGTACCTCTCCCTCTGGTAGCGGGATTTTCAAGACCATTTTATTGTTATTAATGTGGGTTTAATTCATTTGGCCGGTAACAGTACCCGGTCAATAAAAGGGATGTGAGAGAAATATTAAGTTTTGTAGACATTAGTGAAAACATGTGATTTTTATTGAAGGTTCTGGGTGTGGATTTTCTCAACAGCAATGAATGAAGTATAATGCAGTCATGAAGCTCCATGGTAAAAGACGCAGTACAGGCTAAATTGCGGCTAAGTGCAGACGAAGGGATTCTCCATGTTCGCACATACTATATCGTTATTATGTACCTTACGCAATCACTAGTTAATAAATATTTTTAGCTAAATCTCCTTTCAATAATTTGCCACAATTGCATTTATGCATATTCTACTTATAATCACATCTGTTGTCTGCTTAATAGGTATTAGTTTCTCTGTTTGGATACCCAATTTTCTTCCAATGTCGAGGCACGTATTCAATATACTTAGTTAACTAAAAATATCAGTGTTTCCGGATTCATGGCGACACGCTGTTAACGGTAACATTACTTTCGAAAGTATTATTTTTTAGTTTTAAGTAGATTTGTAAATGGACTTATCACATAAAATATTAAAATTTATTTAATCGTTGAACCATATTCAACAGAAATGTATAAACAGAATGAACATGCAGGTATTGCCCTTATTGCTGTTAGAGTAATTTCTGATATAAATATTCCATCAAAAAATTATTATTTTTTAAGTCTTTTTGATTGACCATTATTCGAGGTTATAAATCTGTCCTAGTCTCTGGTTGGCGGCTGATCTTTAATGTTTTTTTATATTTTGTTGCCAACGCCGGAGTGTATTTTGATTTAAAATCATCAAGACAATAGATTCTCTCTCCTGGCTATAACGACTATCCGACGCATAACCTTTTTTTCATTATTTGTGTTATTTTGTCCATTAAAATTGTCTTAAGTTTGCTTCCTTTATATTTCTCAATATTCATACCACACCATTTGCATAAAATGCTTCCAAATGTTGCACGTAATCAGAGATGGCAGACACGACCGTTTACTAGACAGCTCAATTAAATTGTGCTTTACGCGTACGCAGTCGTACATGCCTAGTGTAGTAAGTTATCAATAACATTAGTAAATTAGATAACGTTCAAATAACCGATTGTTCAGAATAGTTCAACGGATGTGTAGAGCTATGACGCTGACTGCAGGAACCCGATTAATGGACGTAAATTAGTACGAATCATTAAAGAAAAACTTCCTGAAGCACAACAAATCACGGATTGTTCCTAAACTTCTGTTATTTCTTTACTGTTTCCGCGTTTAGAAACTGACAAAATAGAGTCCGAAATTATGAGAAACATTATACGATTGCTAACATGGTGCTGAATAAATTAAGAGCCCATGAAATACTGATTCAACCTAGTTTTCTAAGCCCAAGGCCGTATAGAAGCCCCCAATGCGGTCTACGGACCACATCAGGGCCAAATGGTCTACACAGGCTACGTCCGAGCAGAAACGTTTGAACCCACTATCTCAAAAAACATAGCGCTAATGAAAGATTTATTTACCGAAACTTAAGCAGTTGGCCATACTGCTACACTTACCTCTCGCATAGAAGACCACAGATTTGCTCTCTTTTAACACTTTGTATTAACTCGTCGGGAATTTTAAGAAACTAAGGGCATGACATACTTTCAGTAAACTATACATAAAGCCAGAAATATGTTTTCTTTAAAAAACCAAACTATAAGATGCTCTGCGAACTTTGTGATGAGGTCTGAAAATGTGACACGTTCTGTGGCGCGATCTCACGTCTGCTCCTACTGAAGTGATTTCCAGTTATGGTTTTTGGGTTAACAACTGACACCGTGAATCTTACCCCATCCTGCTATTTTAGCATTCCATTTTTTCGCGATTCAGGAGGATCATTTTGTCAAAATCTTTACGGAACACGAATATAGGATTTTCTCTCAAATTCATGAAGGCTGTATATTTTTGAGGAGATTTAAACTATTTTATCAAGTCTCTCAACTTTCACAAAAATCAGTTAACTGGTTCTAAATTTGTATGGAATCGTTATAAAACCTTTTCTGACGCATTTAAAATAATCAATAGTTTTGCGTTAAGATACGATAAACTGGAAATTTCCCAAGCCCAATTGCTTACAAATGCAGTAGGTCATGAGTCCAATTTGAAAAACTTCATTCCTTCTAGAACTGATCAGTGTTTTATTTATCTGCGCATGACAAATCACCCATCTAGAGTTGCCTGTGCCTAGTTTGTCCCTTCTGGGACCATCGACATCAAACTTGCGTCTCTCATGCTAAATAAGGATTGGTTTCGGTTTTTTGTTTCTCGGAAGTGTAGTTTTACAGCGAAAATTAATCTTAAGTGTCTGGCCAAGAGCTTTTTTACGATCAGTTACATTCGTCAAAGCTACGATCACGCGCTAGAACCAAATAGTCCATACATGCGTTTGGTAAACATATCTGCAAATTTGTTTTTGATTTTTTTCGGAATTGTCCCAACCAGAACTTGTTACATAAAGCGAACCATACTTTTATCAAATGCACGTTTTGCGAAGACGAACCAACACAAGTCCCTATTGGTCATCTACCGTGAGATGTGGACTACGGAATACCATATTAGCCAATCTTAAGACAAACATGGTCAGGATTTTTCACACTTTTAAGACAGAAATGTGCGAATGGGTTCTGCACTTTACACAAAAGTGGGCTATCACACATAACTCCTTTTCAAAGGAACCAATGAGTTTTTTCAGCTTGATTCTGTACGTCATGCCATCGAATATAGGAGCGATGTCTAGCACACAGGTAAATCTATATTTAGGGACCTAAGATTGAACTCTTGGCGTTGGCCATTATTTTTATGCCAAAGAAAAAGCCTGCCTATTGCCATAAAACCTCCGGTAAATTTTTAAAAGGCTAATGCAGCTTATTTAATTTTTTAATTCATCTTTTTTCCGCGGTTTTTAAACTCTTGTCAAACAAGGTGCGAATCAAAGTCGGATGTTAAGTAATCACAGAAAGTTTTGTTAACATACACCTAATTCCTTCGTATGCGCATTACACGTGAATTGATTGTGTCGCCTCTAGTTTTCACTCACTCTGGGTTAGTCATTACAGATATCAAGTGTACAGGCGTAGAATACCCGAGCCCTAGTATTGAAAAGACCGGTACAACATAACAGGCTTTATTGACCAATCACAAGCCAGAACCACGCGTCAGGCGCCTTCCATCCGAGTCCACCGCGCTGGCCACGCCACTCATTATATACTGCACCTCAGTCGTGTCTTTCTCTGGTTGGCTGCTCATCTTCCTCGCATGCCATTGAATCACAATATCAGAAAAACAAACTAGGGGTCATTCAGCTCGTCCCCTTTTAGACTCCGCGGCTTAGCAATTCGACTATCCAATTCTAGCGACTTTAATCAATAGCTTGTTTTGTCTCCTTTTTATTGTACGCTTCAAATTACGATGATTCCAAACGAATTTACAAGCACGTTGCATACATACCTTTACGTCCAAACAGATTCTCAATTTTCTGATATAATACTTTGACTCGTCGCTTAGTAGGCGAAATAAACCACAAATTTTGATAAAGCGTACGCATTTTCTTAGTTGGCGGCGCAATAAATGCCAGATCGAAGTTAAACTCACTACTGGAAAAACAAACCTACTTCGCTTGTTTGGGTTCGTCTAGACGTTCCATCCAATCAGGATTTCTTAACGTAATCATTTGCGAAGTTGTGCACCTAAAGCAAAGCAGGCAGCACATTCCTTTTTTGATAATTTCCGCATTTTCGCAAGTTAGTCGACCGTACACCAGATAATAGAAGGGAGTGCTTTTTGCTTAAAAAAACCAAAACCGAAAGAATGTAGAAAATGATTCGTTAAATTCCAATCGAGGCACCTGAAGCCCCGCTGATAAGATGATGCATTTATTCACAACGCCTCTCAGGCGATACTAATAGGCCACATGTCAACTGTTGGTTGTATTTCGTCAATTATTTGGGAATTAGTACAACTGATATGCTGCATACTCATCTAGAACTTTGCTCTCTACTGTACTGCAGTGTTCAGATTTTCAGCAACGAACACCATCAAAAGGCCTGCCAATTATCCCAGTTTGGAATCGTGTGGGTCGCGTTTGACCTCTCTCGAAAGGTGTGACCACATTATGCTTGAGCGATTGCAACGTTAACCCATGCAAGATCCTTCTAACAATAAGCGATAATTTTCAATGAAGCCACAACACGATAGCTGAGTGCAGTCGTTCGAATTTCATGTACAAGGGAACCCGCCATATTTTTAAACACATTGATATTACGCTTCCGAAAAAACGACACGAACACCACTGACTACCTATTACAGTCAACTTCATGTTTC